AATATTCGAGTCAGTACGTATCTTATATTCTGAGACAAACACGATAGCTCTTAATAAACCTGCACCCATCAAAACTAATTTGATGTGGGTTAGACTCCACTAACGAATTCGCGAGCGGTACAACAGCGCCACTTTCAATGGGCCATATCCACCTCAGCTCTTGAAAAACACTAGGTGATGCTCTTTGTATAAACAAGCTTTGAATTTGTTAAGATTGTGCTGTTACGAAGCCTCATGACGATCTGAATGTTTGTACACTTTGAGACTCCAAAATTTATTACCAAAAGTAAACCACAAAAGTATTCCAAAAGGAATTCCAAAGGTGTTTATTTTGGAAATAGGCAATATTTCGGTGCTACGGTAATGTATAATACAATACCGTAGGTACCACGCACCTTGAATTTGTTCACTGATTTGTGTCTTGATTTCAATGAAGCCTTTAAAACCAGGATCTGCTAGGATAAACTCGCCGGTGACATGATCGTTGCGAGGAGGTGCTTGCTGTAAAGTTATTCTCGTCATAGGACATGGTGACATTGTTGCCGGACGACAGAGAGGAATGATGACAAATACCCCACTGGCCAAACAAGCGCGTAATGGCAGGTGATGATTTGAATATTTTTTGAAGCAATCCCAGATAAAACGCTGACAGATGTCTGCTGATCACGATGAGGTGAATTTGATTGGATTTCGTACTTGAAATCATGTTGAGGGACTTTTCAGCCTCCCTTTCCTATCAGTTAGTGTTTCAGTGACGATGATTATTGTTGGGGGAAGGCGAAGCGAATCAGATTTTTTCCTTCTGAAGGCTTACTTTTTACATATCATTATATTATATTTTGCTTTCTTGCTTTACTACAAAAATAAATAGGTCGCGTCACTTATCATCAGGTCGTTACCAAAGGCACTTATCCCAAGAATGGCTATGGGCCCTAATTGTGGCCACAGGCGTTGACTGTGGCGTAAAAGTAGGGCGATAGGCCCAGGCAGTGACCAAGGGCGGTCGCTGTGGCGTTGAAGTAGGACGACAAGCCACGCCTCCTTTGAAGCAACCATCGACTACCGACACCTAAGAGCGCTACGAGCGTATAAAAGGTCCATCCCCTACAGCTTCCTGTTCTATGGGGGCTTCCAAGTTTGTTTTACATCAGTTCTGTAATATTTAAATGAATAAATTGTTGGTGCTAAATGGTTCCAAATGCCACTCCCTTTTTTTATCAAGGTGCGAGGGGTTAAGATACGCAGCTCGTAGATATGTAGATAGCTTAAATTATGACCTGCACAATCTAGCAGAAAAAAAAGGTTATTTATATCGTTTTTCTATCAGTTCGTGATTGACCTTTGTCGCTTTCGGCTAACTAAGCCATGACGTCATACTTTCGCCAAAATTTCGTTGTCCCTTAGTGATATTTTTCACTGCCCAGAGCTTTTTCCAAGAAGTACTTTCCAAGAAGTTTCATAATCATTCCTTGAAGCCATAACGTATTACCTATGGCACGAAAAGATACTGGGTCAACGACCTTTTGGGCAATAATTATTATGTAGAGGACTAGTTATTCAAAGCTTTGTGTGAAATGCATCCTCCACAGAAACTCTTTGAAATAAACCAATTTTGGGAGATGAGCATATTCTATTACGTCTCAACCCTTCAAATGAGCAATTCTCGTTATCCTTGCAGTTCTGAACCGAGCATGGGTGTGAAAAATTATGTGGATGGACTTCTCCAAGCACACAAGGTCGTCGTTTTCAGCAAATCGTATTGTCCTTATTGCCATAAGGTGAGAAATCACTTTTTTTTGCTTTTTTTCGTACAAGACGTCACTTTTATTTGGTTCGGTTTCTTTTGTTTGCCAGTCTTGTCGTGGTTTTTGTCGGGTGATCTGAGCAAACATCGACCACCCTTCGCAGCCAGGGGCTAGCAAAATCGATAATAGACGTCCAACCGACTCTGACGGTTTCAAATTGTGAACGTAGAAGAGTCACAAAGAACGAAGACGCACTGCACGGTTATCACCAGGCGCTTCGTATAGCATACATTATACGAAGTTATACGAGAGACCACGCACGTATCACAAAGCTCACATAATAATTGAATAATAATTAACGGGAATTACGTCTCTTCCCTTTCTAGCAATTCCACTAATTCGCTTATTCGCTGAATTGGCAATTCCATGGGAAGTGCTTAACGAACAAAAAGGGTGCTCTGTGCTCAATCAGCCTTGTAGCTTTAGACTGGGCGTTGTCCATGTGAACAATTGCGACGACGTTTGAAAGGAATTTCTGGGCGGCACAGTCTTCTTCTTGTGATGTAAAGCATTTTCAGGCAAGAGCAGCTTTGGAAACTCAAAACCTTAAGCCGGGAGCACTGGAATGGGTAGAAATCGATGGAAGACCTGACTGTGGTGAAATTCAAGATTACCTTCAGGTTTGTGGGATTATCGACCATCTAGATCTTGCCATGCCTGTTTTACAAAGTATCCAGTTTATGAAGCCCTGTCGACTTCACAGGATCAATGTGCAGTGACAACAAAAGAGGAATGAATTTATTATGAAAGTATGTTAGCCTTAGCAAGCACGAAAAGCGCAAAAAAGAATGAGGTAGAAGTGATTTGTCCGAATTAGAATCGATATTGGAATGAGCTTTTCATTAACACCCGAGAAGATTGTTGTTTTCTTCTCTTGCTCAAAGGGATGTGCAAATAAACCGTTTTGAATTGGGGCATTCTTATAATATGAAGAACTAAAAGAAGAAGTGAAGAACTAACTGGATGCGATTTCCGATGAGCCCCAGTTCTGCTAAAAGGTAACGGGTTTTGGACAACTCTCAGTGGTGACGGCATAAATATAGAAACTCGGGTCTAAAATATGAAGGCGAACGTGGAAAATATCGTAGTTCTAACAAGGGGCTTTCAGGGCGAGCCACGCTTTTTGAAACGGTTCCTTGCATATTGTAGGGACGCATGTATGGACCACAAAACCATGTTTCGTTTTCGCTGAACGGTTTTAGTAGTACCAAAAAAGTGGTGAATAATACTCTTGATGGTTCAATCCCCCGCGGCGACTAAATTTTGCAATCAAGGTTGGCGGCCACTTGTTGGCTTCAAAATGGTCCTGACGATGAATTGACATCTGATTTTGACATTTAGCGCGATTTGGCCCCGTAGGCGCCAACCCAAATGCAAAATTTAGTCGCCACGGGGGATCGAACCATTAACAGTACCTTATGCTTCTTTTTTGGTACTGCTAAACCGTTCAGCGAAAATGAAACATGGTTTTGTGTTCCCTACATGCGTCCCTACAATATGCAAAAACCGTTTTGAAAAAGCGTGGCTTGCCCTGAAAGACCCCCCTTGTAAGTCACTTTCAGGAAAGGGGCATTTTTAGTATGCTCGGGCCAGGAATCATACCTATCGTTTCGACCAGTTCCAGTGTTGAACACCCTCGTCAATTGCTCAAATATTTTTGGAAGTTCATTCATGGATTCATAATTAACATCTATTAGATCGCGGGAAGGGAATGCACCGGTTGAAACGTTCACGCTTTGTGTTCACGCCTTGAACGAGAACGAAATGGAAGGCCTTCAATTCCTCACGACTTGCTAACGCTTGATCCTGTTCCAGTCTTTAGCCCAGTAGCAACTATTGGGTTGTCTCATAATTCCTGTCGCATTTCTGTTCAATTTCAAGTTCCTTCCGTCTAAGACAGGCAGCATAGTTTCCGGGAAACGCAAGCCCTTAACGGGTTAAATCAACTAGAAAAAATAGGTCAGTGACTGCAATGAATGATTATGCTTTACGATCCTCAAATGAACTCTGTAGCAAGGAGGACAACAGAGAAGATCAGCGCTGTGTTTGACCCAGTCTCTGCTACTGATAGGGTACTGAGCTAGTGGTCCAATCGCAACGGCAAAGACGAAACGAGCTATGAACTTCAACCTCATACTGGGCCTGCGGTCATTTTTGATGAGCGCCCCTTGCACCCTAAATTGGGAGTGCCTCCGTACGTTGCTACCAGGGTATTGTAGCAGATACCTGAGCGCAGCCGATGCACCAGCACACGCCATCAGTATGGCAAGGACTGCTGCAGAATGAAGTTTTGATGGAAACCTTATGGTCCGGCCGACCATGAGCGGGAAGCACGCCTGACCATCTGGGGAAAATCCATTCTGGGACGGCAAAAGCAGAGCCTTCCCTAATCGGTCACCAGTGGAAATGAGTCATGAGTCCACTGCGACAACAACATGCGGCACGTCTGATGGCTGCCTCGCAGCCAGGAAGCACCAGCTCAACCAAAGCCCGAACTCCGTTTTCTGAGAATATCGCTCTCGTTTTATTGGATTCGCTAGGTGGCCTGGTTTGGGAACCACTTCAATGTATGAAGACAAGCATTGCTAAAGTCAGCGCGGAATAGCCCTCTTGGCTGGCTTTGGGGTTGCGAGAGAATCGTCAGAAACGTCTCAGATCCTCCTTCCTCCGAATGTACACCAGACCTCACATTGCAATGCCAACTCACCACGTTGTGGGGGAGATAGCCAGGGCCACGATACCTCATCCACCATATAGCATTGGCATCGCTCTATCGGACTATCGCCTCCCCTGCGCTTTGAATAAGCATCTGCCAGAGAAGAAAGTTAAAGATTGCGGTCACCCCAAAAACGACTTCTCCAAATTCTTCGACCCCCAGCTTCCTTCATTCTGGGCTGGAAGCTTCCAAACGCTCACTAGCAAATGCACGCATATCAGTGACCATGATGGTGGTTATTGATCAGTTGTTTCCTAGAAGAGATAAAACTTGGATAAAAAAAAGAAAAAAAAAAAAAAAAAAAAAAAAAAAAAAAAAAAAAAAAAAAAAAAAAAAAAAAAAAAAAAAAAAAAAAAAAAAAAAAAAAAAAAAAAAAAAAAAAAAAAAAAAAAAAAAAAAAAAAAAAAAAAAAAAAAAAAAAAAAAAAAAAAAAAAAAAAAAAAAATTTATTTTTTCTGAACTGTTGAATTATGATGCGCAGTGCCTTGAAACCTGTCCTCCTGGAATGCGGTCCTTATTTCCCCGCGGAACATACATGTTTGTTTATTTAAGTCACTCACTGGAGCGCGTTCGGTGCCACGAGTGTTCATCAACCAGAAATTCTTTGGTGGAGGCGATGACACTGCGGCTGCTGCGAAGAACGGAAAACTTGCATCACTTCTAAAGGAAGCTCAGGCAATCTAACTGATCTCATTGAAGTAGCATTTGTGAGGCTCTGTTTGTTCTGTGACTTGCCAATATCATCTTGTGAGTGTTGTTGTTAACGCTATTTATACTCTGTTTCCCGCCGGGTGACCTGGTAAGTGGCACGCATGACAATAGCTTCGATAAAATGAATACACTTGTGCTCGATGATGCTCTCGATGCTGATGCCACGTGATGCCGCGCAGTATGTCTGCAATTATGACAGGCTCCCCGATGGGAAACAGTGTTCATCGATGTCTACTTCAATAACATGGAGTTATTGAGTTGTTCTGTTCGTGGAGAAGTTTGTGGAAATGTTCAACGGTAATAAAATGCTACTGGAGAAAAATTTTTCTGAGGCATACTACAAGATCGATTTCTCTTGAGATAGTGTCGGTGTTTATCAATCCCTTCTTCGGGAGGCATCACAAGATCTCAAATTCTTATGTTGTATGTTGACGAAGTTAGATGGCGCGTTGTACTTTCAGGTTCTTATTAGGTGCGCTTTTCGGGCACCGGTAGAAACCAGCCGCTGTTTTTGAATGATTAAGAGGAAAACTCAAACTTTGAGAGGTTTGCTGTATCTTATGGAAAACCATAAAAAACAGACGTTTCATAGTTTGAATGCGCTAGTAGGGATTTGACACAGTTGAAGCGGTTGGGAATTGCGAGCCTCAGGTTAATGCCTCAAAGGTATGGATGTGGTGGAGCGTTTGTGGACGACCGGCCATTGACCATCTACTGAGCAGCACACTGTTCGAGTCCAGCGGCTCTCAGCAGATCGTTTGAAGTAAGTGGCGGGCATGCTCATTCTCCACAGCGGAGCATGCAGGATTCCACTGCAGCCTTTTGACGACAACCGGCATGAAATCCCCATACGTCCTGTGGCTGATCCTCTCGGTACCGGATGCTATACGATTCTTACGATTCCTCTCCATAGATGGCGTGTCGGACTTGAACTGACAACCAAGGCACAATCTTGCTCATGCACAATCTCGGCATTAATCTTGCTTCAGGTAACCTGCGACAGGTGAACGAAGCAGTCAAACAGGTAAGAGTAGTCGTAAACGACTTTCTCCATTGCCCGTCGGGATACAGTAACTGTTCCATCCAAATGTCGGAGCAAGGTCAACCTTATGTTGGCACAAGTACCAACGAGGGGGCCTTATTTGCTCCACGAGGTAGGAGAGGGTCGTAACCGCGATATTCAACAGGGGAAATCGATATCGACTTTGAAATGCATCGGCGAATTAGAAGCACAGCGCAGGCGCGGCGCACACCATTGAAATTAAAATTGAATCATTAGCATTAAATCGCAGTTGTCAGCAGCAAAAAACTCTTTCAAAAGGATTTCGATGTTTCTGAAGTGAATGAAACGAAGGATATCGCAGTAGTATGAAGGAAACTTCTCGATGAAAAAAGAAAATTTTCACAAAAGAAACGGAGGAACGGATTACCCCAAACGCTTGAGTGATACCGTATTTTTCAAGCACACTAAGTTTTACAAGAAATCATTTTCAAGGAAGTTGCGACCATTGAAACCTTAAAAACCTGCGGTCCCAAGAAAATGGCTTGATGTGGCCCCCCTCCCCAAGAAAGTGTCAAGGGACTAACTCTTGAATCGATGACTTTTCGAATAAGCTTCAGTACTTTTTAGAAACCTTGAAACTCGAAGTTTGTAATGTTACTTCAGTTCCACATTAATTATTTGAAGAAAGTTTTGATCATTCGAAGGTTGGAAATTCACAATTTCCAAAAAATGGTCCCACAACCCCTAAAAAAGGTTCCAACGGGACTAGTTTCCGAATCGGATGATTTTCAAAGAAGTTTTATGATTTTTCAAAAAAACTCGAATCTTGATGTTTGCCATACCGGCTTCAGCTTCCCAAATGACCTTGAAGGGAGTTGTGATCTTTTGAAGATTGAAGACGCGGATGCGCACGAAAAAAACCAACGTGCTACTCTTTTAATAAATAAACTTTCAAGGCTTATTCAGCGATTTTAGGAAAGAGTATGATTTCTTTTATTGATTTTTTATTTCATTGAATTTGATTTTTTTGTAATTCTCACCTCGTGGCACAAATTCAAATTTGAAGGAACTTTTGACCCTCGAAAGATGCAAATCGGGAGGAAAGGAGGCAAGTGCAAATTTCATTAGGATTTCATTTGATTGGGGCAGAAACACCCGGGGAAACGGGAAGTATTCACGCGCCTCGAAGTTTCTCATCTGTCCTACGTAATGTAATGTTTCCACACGTTCATAGACACACGTTCACAAAGCGGGGAGGGAGTCGTGTGAAGACTGCCGAAAATCGGAGGGTCGTGAAAATTTCCAAAAAGTACCGGTAGGGTAGGGTTGACCCTGCATCGTACGCAGGTCATCTTGGCCTTGCTGACAGCTGGACAAGCTTGCGCTGCTCTCTTTCACCTCTCTACACAGTTTCGAAAGTGCAGTTGCCTGCAGGTTATGTGGCTCTTTTGAGGATTAATATCGTCAGCAGCCGACCATGCTTGGCTGCTTATGAGAGTTTGTGGTCACTAATATCGCCCGCTAATATTGCACTCCACTGGTGAGAAAAGATTATCTTTTCATATAAATAGCTGTGGAAGTAACGATTTCTTTTGTGCAACATTGGTTTCCACCTGGTTTTTCGGAATGAGTGAAAAGTAGCACTTCTTTTGTATAAGCTTACTATATGCCTTATAAGCCTG